ATTTAAAATTGTTTTTATGTTTATCTTCCCCTATGTGTCATGTTTCTGTGGTGAACACTTTTGTTTGAACAATGACTTTTTATTTGGGGGGGGGGGAAGCATGCTATTGGTATTTACAAAGTAATGAATTACTTGAATAATTGGTATATCCTAACAGTCTTTAAACATCACTTTATTGATGACTTACGTTTTGTGGTATATTTTCAACATCCCTAGGAGCTAAATGTCTTAGTCATCTGATAAATGGAGCAGGGTCATTTTTAGGGAAATTAATAATAAATTGAACAACCATAATGGGGCAAACTAATTTTCTTCTATACATATCTTCAAAGCTTTCTGCTTTCTCTTTTTTTAAAGAAATGAAGAGAATCCAGTTAGTGTTTGCATTTCAGAGATGATTTGCCATAGGCACAAAGGGTCTGAAGATGAAAAGACAGGCTTCCAGGTTTCCTGAACCATTAATAGCTGCATTTAGAGATCAGTTATCTAAGACCCATATCTATTTTTGTTTAAAATTACCAGCTATTGGCAGGGCATACATATATACGCATATGTATACACGTATATATATTCACATATATTTCAGGCACAAAATAAATGCTTCAAAAGTTAATTTAAGCTTCATTCAGTGTTCCAAAAAATAGAAAAAGATTATATAAGGCTTATAAGCTTCCTAAGAAAAGTCCTGTCATCAATGTACAATAGAGACTTTAATGCTCTACTCATACATTACATATATGTGAATATATACGCACACATATACACATACATATATACATATGCACACATATACACATACTTATATGTGTATACCTACATATATAGCTGCCTACAGCTACTAATTGTTATTTCATTCAGAGCTATATACACATACACGTGCACACACATACAGACTATTTAAAAACAAAACGGAAAGTGATTTGAGATTTACAGAAACAGGAAAGAAAAGACCTAGGAGTCATGTAGCTAATGAGTAACTGGACAGCAAGCACCTTGCCGAAAACTAAGCATAAACAAAAAGAAGAAAATGTGAGCATTGTGCAGTTAGTTTCAGCCTCACTTTTGGGGGAATATGTTCCCGGTTTCTCTAACTAAAAAAAAAAATTTCATAGTAAAGCTGTGAAAATTAGGAAGTAATTGGAAAATAAGAAGCAAGATGAAGTGGGGATGGGGTGGATGATGTACTGCGCTTTTCAACAGAGGACACCTGTCTCCGTTCCAACTGCCGCCCGTAGAGAAAAGCTAAGATCCTGTTTTCAGCCATTTAACAATTTATAAAATCCTCTTGATTTCATAACTCAAGATTTACCTTTGAGGTATGTTTACCTCATTTGAACTTGCAATAGAGAAGTATTGGAATATGTTGGAAAAAAAGAAAATAATAGTTTTCCCTGCCCTTGTTGCTGGGGGTGTCTCAGTCTTCATTGAACTGCATCCATTGGCGGCACAGCCAGATGAATGGTTGTCAAGCTCTCTGATGGCTGACAGAACAAGGCACATAGTAGGTGCTCCGTAATACAAGACCGTGACAGCTCTCTAGTGCAGGCGTTTCTCACGGAGTCTTCATTGTTAGGAAAAACCAGGAAGCCCACCACTTCGTTCGTCTGCAAATGGGAACCTAAAGAAGTTTCTCTAATTGAAATTTGGTAGGGTTTTCCTACCTCAGAAAGCTCATGGAACTACATCTTATGAGGCTTAAGTTTGATTTCAGTTAAAGGGCAGTTGGAATATTTACTTTGCTTCTAGAAAAAAAAAATGATCAAAGAATCCAGGAGAAAGAAAATGTTCTCTTGTCATTTGGTCAGAAAGGGAAAAGCAAACTAATAATTCTGACTATTACTTCTCACAACTTCATCTCTCATTCACCTCAGGGAGAGGTTTTTCTCGCATGAAATCACAAGATTCTTCCTCCAGAAGGAAGCTTATTATTGTTGCTCTTGCTAAAAATTTTCTTTGGTGTGTAGGAAAAGAATTGCTAGAATATGCACTTAACTCTCTGGGAAAATTAGATTTGATGGAGTCTGGTCATGGGTGTTTTTCTAAATAAACATTACTCATTTATATATTAAAATATTAAAATAATTGCTATGCCCCTTGGCTTTTATAATCCATTTGTATGTGAACATGAGTTCTGAACTTAATTTTGTCCGTAGGATACTTATGAAATATTAGGTATGAATAGAGTCAATGTCCTGAATTTTAAGCACAAAATAAATGCTTCAATAGTTAATTTGAGCTTCATTCAGTATTCCAAAAAAATAGAAAAAGATCATATAAGGCTACTGCCTCTAAGCTTCCTAAGAGAAATTTTGCCATCAATATGCGATATAGACATTAATATTCTACTCATTCCACAATGGGAATCTTGAAGGCTTCTTTATTATAAATATACTGATATTTGCTTTAGTAAGTAAGTTATTTTCCTAAATTCAGTCATTTTCTCTTCCAACAGTTTTGTGACTCTTTCTTTGCTCTTCGCTCACTGCCAAGCCCACTGTTTTCAGATTTCAGATTCTCCAAGGAGATGAGCAGATCTGGGGGGATCATAT